AGCCCGAGCCAAAAAGAGAGGCAGAGCAGAGCACACACCATAATATTGGGAAATTGGGAGACCAGGGACGTAGGCCTAACAATGCCTCAGTGTACTGTGAGAACTTAGGTAGATTATTATCTGTGCCTCCTTTTCCTCAGCTGTTCCCTAATAGCAGAAGTTGAACTAGATTTCATCTATGAAATTATATGTGTTCATTTCCTTCATTCTGAATTCTATAAACCCATAATATTATGTTGCCTTTGTCAGTGTTCATCCCCTTTAACAACTTCCATTAAGCAACTAATAAAATCCCATCTCTCTTAGAAAAATTTCCTTGGCTTTCGAAGATATGTTGGAACTCATAATCTTGTTACATCTGAAAGCCTCTCTAAATGTGTGGTTTTGAAAACGAGGAAAAAACTAGAGTATGAACTTACATTGAAAGTGAGCAAATTACCCATGAAGCACATGTGTATAATATTCCACAGCCATGTATATAATATTGCATTGGAAGTTAGCAGGGTAGAAAAGAAGTACGAGGAAGGGTTCTGTGGAGATTCTATAATAATCGAAGCAAGGGGACATGGTCACTTGGTGTAGCAACCTGCAGGAGAGCCACTCGTGACCCGTGCCAGGGACAGCCAGTTGGGAGGATTGAGCACAGCCGGGGTGCCAAACTGGACCACTCGTGCCCAACGTCGGACTTCTTTAATGGGAAATCTTTGCTCTGGGGCATCCTACAGGCCTGCCTGAGACTTTCTCAGAGTTATACTGCTACTCAGTTCCTTCCTTTCTCAGATGTCAGATCTGCATCGATCATGATCTGAAAGTCTTCCCTGTCTGCTCCTAATCTCTTTCCTTTATTCTTCATGGGCACCGCCCCCCCCCCGTTAAGCTTTTGCACAGCGAATTCCATCTTGATGTTTGCTTCTTAAAAGATCCAACATAATACATAGGACTACTTGGAATAAGTAATATTCCAGACTCTCTGGCATCCAAGTGTGACTATGTCATTCTGTGGCTATAAGTGCATCTGATGTGTAAATAACCTTAAAATGATCTACCAGGAGGTTGGTCTCCTCTTCCTCATGACCTCCATCCTGCTAGCTAAAATGTGGGCATAGTGGTTAGGTTCACAGGAGCTAACTCAGATCATGAAGTGGAAGCAATATATTTAGGATTAGGGCTTTAGATCCGTGACGGTAGAAAAACTGTCATATCAGCCTAGATGATCCATGTTTACACAAGAGAGAAAAGTAGTCAGTGACATTTTCGCTTTCCTATCAAAGAGCACAATGTAATTCTAACTCACACAGGTCCCTACCCTTCAGGGAGGTGGGGAAGTGTCAAGTAAAACACTCATTAAACAGGAACAAATGCACGGTGGCATACAGTAGTGTGTCTCACACACAAACACACACACACTAACACTCCCAGAAAAGGGGACATCGTTGTCACCTAGAATATTTGGGAAGGTCAGTCATAACCTGGACTTTGGAAGACAATTAGATGTAGAAAGGAGGATTGTAGACTGGGAAAACAACCTGAGTATACCATGTTTTTAGGGTTAGAAAGAGACTACCCTCAATGCAACAGAGGTGGTTTGGTGACAAAAAGTGAAAATAAAATTAGGTGGGGGAAATCTTGACAACTCTGCTTAGGCAATACATCCTAAAGAAACCTGGCTTGTTATTTGCCTCTTGGCTGAGGTCTATCTCCTGCACTTCTCCACCCTGCTATGTATTTCAAGGGCCTGATCGCCGAAGCCACACTTACTGGGCTTCTCTGACTAATGCCTTCTCAGCTGGGTTTGGCCAGTGGGAAGTACTGGCTGGACTCTGGAGAACAGGAAGATAGACAAAACCAGGGTATATCTTTATTTGACTCTTTTTCAATCAACATCTCTAGTGGTTGCCTTGTCTTCTCAGTGATTCAGACTTCTGCTGCACAGCCCTGGCTCCTGGCCCAGACATATTCTTTCCTCCCGGTGTTCCTCCTGCCCTAGGGGTCATATTAGCTTCCTGCAGTTGCTAATCTTGATATCACCTCACTTTTCCCCTTTGTTCTTGTAGCACTTCTGACAACTTCACAACCAATTTCCTATGTTAAATTCCTTCTATGAATTACCTGGCTTAGCAGATGGTGTTGCTACGCTGTGCATATGTCTGCAACATTCATTTATATACATCCAAGCCTGCTTAATGTAAATATCTGCACTTACAGGTCTTAAGGTTTTATTTAGCCTCAAGAGCACATGTGGCCATGCATAAGGAAAGCTAGAAGTGACAAAGAGTCAGTGTCCCCAGAAGTGGACAATGGTGGACAGGGAGCTGTGAATAAAAACCAGATTCTTCAACCTGGGGCAGAGGATGGTAGGTAACTCTAAGTTGTATACCGTAGTGTTTCTCCCATTTCCCTAGAGGTATCGAGATCCAGTTGTCCATGGTGGTAACCGGCTTGATCACGTACACTTTATATTGGCATCTTTCTCTTCCCTGTTTCATTTCCCCACTGGTCTACCAGCTTACCAAATAAACTATTTGCACTTGAATCCTTGTCTCAGAGTCAGCTTCTAAAGAAATCTAGACCAAGACAATTGGCTTGGGTTTGATATCTCAGGCAAGATACTAAGTAATGCAAAACCCTTTCTTGAACCTCCATGCCCACCCATCTTCCAGAGCTTCCTGTATAAAACATTTATCATACTAGCACTTACTTCGTAAAGTTGAAATTGTCCATTTACATTTCTCATGTCTCAAATTGTAAACTGTAATTCCTCCACTTAGTACTCTTCCTGGCACAAAATAGCAGTCTATTAAATATTGGTTGAATAAAAGAATGAATGAATAAACAAGAAGAAAGAAAGACTGGGATGAGGGAAATTCTCAACATTGTTCTCAACACAGTGCTTAGCAGGCCAGGAGATACTCGATAAATATTTATCAGTGGAATTAATAACTGAATGGATTTGGTGATAACTAACTTGAAGTTTAGAGTTGGAGATTTGGGACTGGATGAATTCTTTTTTTTTTTCGATTTTATTTATTTATTTGACACAGAGAGACACAGTGAGAGAGGGAACATAGCAGGGGGAGTGGGAGAGGGAGAAGCAGGCTTCCCGCGGAGCAGGGAGCCCGATGTGGGGCTCGATCCCAGGACCCTGGGATCATGACCTGAGCCGAAGGCAGACACTTAAAGACTGAGCCACCCAGGCGCCCCTGGATGAATTCTTTGAAGAACTGCATAAAGAGAAGAGAGAATATTCGTATTGGATAAGGAAATCTTGTAGCAAGAGGACTATAGTTGACAAATTTGAATGGGAAAAATATGAAATATAAATTCTAATGACATAATTTTTTATGATGTCCTTGAAAATGACATGAGTCAAAAATCAAGGGGATACCCAATATGTAATAATGAGAATTTCAAAGTCAAAGACCAAAATAGAGCATTTAGACAAAGGTGACTAGGTTCAGATACAATGCTTGAAAAATTAACTACAAATAGCCTCATGAAAGATACACTGAACTTAAGATTTATGTAAAAATTCATTTTAAAATTAGTTTCACCATCAATGTGACTTACAATCACAATTTTTTTTCTCAAAAAGTTGCTGAGAAGTTTTTGAGAGGTCATATTTTAGCTGTCTTAAACTTTTTATTTAGTCTTTTAAAAAAGGATTTAGAAGAATTATGCCCCCATTCCCTTCATATTCAGCTCAAAGTATAATAAATCAAAAACAAAAAACATTTGATTCTTAAAAGTTTCTACTGGAAACCCAATCATAAATCTTTATGATAGTCTTATGTGTTTCCAGAATCAGGTCCTTCAAAACTTACATTCCAGATAAATAATTATGGACAGATACAACAAAATTCTGGTGCCACATTATAGGCATTATAGGCATCATATGATAAAAGTACATACTAAATACTGTCTGTCTGTTTGTTTTTTAAGATTTTATTTATTCATTTAGAGACAGAGAATGCATGCAGGTGTGCTTGGAGCGCAGCATGGGCAAAGAGCAGGTGCACGAGCTGGGGAAGGGGCAGAGGGGGAGGAAGGAGAGGGACAAAAAGACTGGGCACTGAGCGGGTCCCATGACCTTGAGAACCTGAGCCAAAACCAAGAGTCTGATGCTTAACCGACTGAGACACCCAGGCGCCCTGTCTGTTTGTTTTTAACAAACATTTCCTAAGATAAAATTTTTATGTCATGAATCCTGGGGAAAGCCAGACATCACTGACACTGACTCTTGATGAAAGAAAAAAAAAAATCAATCTGAAAAGACTGCTTGCTGTTTAAAGCTACTTGTCTGCCTGTTTCAGGCTCCATGGTAAATCTTTGTTTTTGTCCTAGAATTCTCATTCCCGATGAAAGCCCCAGATAGTTGTATACTTGGATAAATAGCAATGGCAGCCTGTCCCAAGGCAATCCTCAATAACGTGATCTATGTGTTATAGCATTTTACCTAAGTGTCAACTCTCAAGAGGCTGGTATTCATTTTATTGTATCAAATTCATTGTTTTGCTAATTTATACAAATCTATGAGAAACTCTTATGTATTAAATACAAATGATAGATCTACTAAGACATATCACTATTAAAAATAATGATAACAGATTTTATGTCTATGAAGCATGTGAAATTCTACAAGAAATTTTCCAAACAAGAAAATCCGTCTTCCTGGATCAGTCTACAATTCAACCCTCTTCCTGCTATTCACAACTTAAATTCAAATACACCATAAGAGACTGATAAAAATGCATCATCTTATTTTGTTCCCTACTTACTCATCCCCTAGCTTCCTATTTTATTTTATATTCTGATAAAGCTTCATCTGCTAGAAAGAGTTTTTCCTGTAAGGTGATACCGTTGTTTCTATTATTCGCCTGCCCATCACCATTGTCATCGCTGTCTGAGACATTAATAAATTTAGAATATGAGAAAATGACCAGCAACTGATGGAAGTAGTCTACAGAACCGGTCAAATTAGGTTTTACATAACTCCCAACAGGGTGCTTGCTTTGGCAGCATATATACTATAAAATTGGAACGATACAGAGAAGATTAGCATGGCCCCTGCGCAAGGATGACACGCAAATACATAACTCCCATCAGGTATCATTCCTTTTAAACCATCACATGGATTTAATACTGATGTGGAAGAGAGTGTAGAAATCTCTTTCAACATCTTCAATTCACACGTGAGAAAACGGAGGTGCACAAAGTTTAAAATGACCAGACAAAAGTCCTATTATTGCAAGTTAATGGCAAAGCACCCAGAGCCCAATTTCTCCACCTCCCATCTCAGGAGATTTTTTCATTATAGAGTCATCTTGAGTTTTTGAGCTTCTTTTAAATTATGTGTTACATGTTTTGGCTCCCCTGGCTAATATTATTTTCCAAAAAAATAATTTTAAATAATATTTCATTGATAAAACTTTCATTTGCTACTGATATAAGATTATTTATTCAACTGATTTGCTCAACAAATTTTTATTGTGAAAGTACTACTGTCCTGAGTTTTGAGACTATAGAAGCAAACAAAACAAGCAAAAATCCCTGCCTTTGTTGGAACACATCATCTAAATTACCCATTACAATTTATAGTTGTCATATTCCATCTTGGTCAGTGCAACTGTGTTTTTGGTTAGAATTGTTTTAGACCAGGAGTTTATGCCATTTCTGAGGTGAAAAATCTCAATGACAAGAGCAGCAATAGTATTCCAGTTTCAAAACCAGATTACAGTGTACAGATAAGGGAATAAGACAAACAAAATATAGGAGAAAGATAGGGACAGCTTTCACTGTGCCAGGCTTGTGGGAAGTCAAGAGACTGGCTGATAAACACCACTGAATTCAACAAACATTTCTTCAGCTCCCATGTGACTGTTAGCCCTGTTATCTTGTTTGCTATTTAATTACAAGCACCTAGAACTGTGTGTGCCACATCCTAGATGTTCAATAAATATCCTGGAAATGAAAGAATGGATAATGTAAACCAGATACTGTACTAGATTACAGAGATACAAAGATGAATAAAATATGGTCCCATCTTGTAAGAAGCTCATGATCTCCTAAGGGATCATAAATATAATATTTATTAAATGTCTTCTATTAATAAAACACTATACTAGGCACTGCATTAAGGAAAAATAAAAACAAATAAAACACAATCCTTCCAGGGTGCACGGGGTGGCTCAGTCGGTTAAGCGTCTGCCTTCGGCTCAGGTCATGACCCCAGGGTCCTGGGATCGAGTCTCGCATCAGGCTCCCTGCTCAGTGGGGAGGTGGCCTTCTCCCTCTCCTTTACCCCTCCTCCCTGCTTGTGCTCGCTCTCTCTCTTGCTCTCTCAAATAACTCTTTAAAAAAAACCACAATCTTTTTCTCAAGGAGCTTACTTTATAATAAATATTTTGAAAAATAAGACCATGGACAGATTCCATTTTTCACTGGTTGGAATCAGAACAATTTTCTTGGTGCAGCAATATTCGAGTCAGTTTCATGACTTCAGCTGGACTATTTATACCTCTGTGCTCATTCTCAGTAAGAAGCTTTTAAGAAGGCTTGGTCAAATAAGAGTTGAACTAATCAAAGCCCTTAAAAAGGAAAATAACCAAATACCTAGATAATGTTTAAAGTCCTCTTTGGCCTCCTGTATAATAGTCCTCCCCATCTTAGCAGAATCATTCAAAATGAGGTGCAGTTCCCAAAACATAATGTATTTCCTTTTTGACAAGTGGTCCTTGTCTCTGACCACTACTGTTTTCTCTGACAAAGATGACCTCCCAAAAAATCTACCCTGTACTGGGTCTCTCCAAGACTACCCCTAGGTTGATTAGCTACGAGGATTCATAGAGCTAAGCATACAGTCCTACTGTTTTAATTTATTACAGCTAAAGGATACAAAGAAATAGGAGCAAGGGAAAAGGTGAAGGAGTGAAGTCTGGAGGAAACCACGTACAAGTTTCCAGGATTCTCTCCCAGTGGAGTCACATAGGATGCACTGAATTCTCCCAGCAATAAGTTGTGACAATACCTGTGAAATGTTGTCTAGCAGGGAAACTCCTTAGAAACTCAGTACCCAGGGTTTTTAATGGGAGCTGGTCCTGTAGGCACCCTCTGTCTAGCCCCCTAGCGCATACCAAATTTCCAGACTCCCAGAAGGAAACAAGGTATTCAGCAAAAGCTCTATTATTTGTATAGATAGTTTAGACATAGTGAACCATTCGTATCAGGGCATGGTAGGAACACTTCTAAAATCTAAGTTTCCAGACACCAGCCAAGGGCCAAATTTGCAAGTAGGACCTTATAAGGATAGCAGTCTCAGTCTTGCTCTGTTGACTCTTTTCTGCGTACTTTGCATTCCCAATTCTGAAATATGGTACTCATGAAACTAGATCCAACATAAACATCTTGTAGTAAATACTTCCCTAAAGACATTCAGATAAAATTAATCCCTCTCTTCCTTCTTCCACTACTATAATGGGTATATAACTTAAAGGTAACTATATGACAGGATTGATGTGTTAATTAACTTGATTGTAGTGATCATTTCACAAAGTACATGTGAAACTTCTTGAAATTTATGCCATTAATCTAATCTGACTTTTTAAAGTTTGTGACAATCTTACAAAGGTTATGGATAGTACTCTGATTATCTTTTTTAAAGATTTTATTTATTTATTTTGGAGAGAGATAGGAAGTGCACGAGCAGGGGGAGGGGCAGAGGTAGAGGGAGAGAGAGAGAATCTCAAGAAGACTCCACCCTGAGCACAGAGCCTGATGCAGGGCCAAATCTCAGGACCCTGAGACCACCACCTGAGCTGAAATCAAGAGTCAGATGCTTAATTGACTAAGCCACCCAGGCGCCCCTAGTATTCTTACTATTTTTATGTCAATATGGCAATCAAAAAACTTTAAGTGAAAGCAATAATTGAAAGGCAAATTTAGGACAAGTGACATAATTATTGAAAATTAAATTGCAATCTTTGTTGCCCTGACCAGTCTCCACAAAAAAATATGAATTTTCATGTTTTCAAATTGTACGGGTATGGAAAACTGAATTATTACACTTCTTCCCTTGCACTATCTGAAATAAGAGAGCAAATCGTCACAAAATCACTTACTGAATGTATTCAATTTACCTAAAATAGAGCCTCCAATTTGTAAAATACTAAAGTATGAAATATATAATCTCTGTGACTTTTTATTTCCTGCCTAAAAATACAGCTTAATATGTTACTTAGCCCTAGAGAAATTGAATAAAAGTTATGGAATCAGTCTTAAATCAACCAGTTGTGTAACAACTTCTCCCTAATGCTTGCTTTGCATCAGAATGTGGAAAAGTCTAGAAAAATTATAAGTGTACACTACTTCTCTGTAAAATCGTAGTCTTGTGAGGTTCTTAAAAGTAAATTATCATTTGACTTTAGTCTTCCTTAGAATGAAAAATACAATCAACAGAATCAGAGCTCAAACTGAGAATTATTGTAGGCCCAGAATATAAGTAAAGGTTAGCCATTCTTTTCCCACCTTGATTTTTCTCACGTGTTTCATCCATACTTGGGAGATAAATCAACGCCAGCAATGATAGGCCACATGAATTGTTTATTAGGCATGCTTTGCCTGTGCCTGACATGAGCCTCTATGGAGATGTTTGAGAAATGAAGCCTCATCTTCCATGTGAACATAGAAGAGGTCATTTCGCTACAAGTGTGTGCTAGGGATTGTCAGTCTAAGCTTAAACAACCCTTAGGAAAGGGGAGGTGTCTCCTGAATTTTGGAATTTTGTATATGGCTTAGACCTATGTTTGTTTTCAGCTGCATCTGAGAATAAGAACTCAAACTATATTCATAAGTCATATAGTTTAAATTTTTGGATACCAAGGGGAAGTGCTGCCAAGCATGAAATTTGTCTACAAGCTACTAATCCCATAGCTGTTCCCTTGTGCAGGGGTGACTCAAGATGATAAAAGTTATCAGAAGTTTGGGAGAAACTTTTCTCATTTTACTCATTTGCTTTGTTTTTGTCTTTAAATATGCTACATATCTATTTGATCAGAACTATTTAAATCCATTCTACCTTAGGGGCAAATTAAATAAGAGACATTCTCATTTTTAGGATATCAGAATTTTATTTTATTTTATTTATTTATTTGACAGAGAGAGACACAGCGAGAGAGGGAACACAAGCAGGGGGAGTGGGAGAGGGAGAAGAAGGCTTCCCACGGGGCAGGGAGCCCGATGTGGGGCTTGATCCCAGGACCCCGGGATCATGACCTGAGCCGAAGGCAGACGCTTAACAACTGAGCCACCCAGGCGCCCCAAGGATATTAGAATTTTAGAGTTCCAGAGATTCACAGAAATTATATGATCCGGGTCTCTCATGGGAAAAATGAGGTCCCTCAAAGCTAAGTACCTTCCTCAAGTCATATAGCTGGTTGGTAGTAGATTCAGACTACAATATTTTGATCACATACAAACTATTTATCATACCGGCAACTTTCTTCTTTTTAAAAAGTCACTAAGAATTAGGAGTATGTACTCAAGGTAATTACTTAGCTTCTCCCTCATTAAATATGCATGTATGAAACAAAATTGTTTTCAATTTTTAAGTGATCTTATATTCAAATTCGATGTGTATCAGAGTAACCACTAAAATTTGTGGACTCTGAGAACTTTGTTGATTATAAAAATAATTAATCTCCGTAAAATGCCTCATAAAATTTTGTATGTATGGCACATATGATGCAAATATTTGGTTTTGTTTCCGAAGTGCCATGAAAATGCTGTTAAAATTTAATTATAAAACATTTCTACTTATTCTTCACACCTAATGCAAAATTAAACAGGATGCTGAGAGTATATTAAGAAAAATGCTTTGTTATTTTCCTTTTATGACTTATCTAGACTTTGTCTAGTCTAGTAGAAGGCAGTCCAAGAGAAAATCCCATGGTCTGGGAGGCTGAGCTTCTGGATTATTACATCTGCCCATTCTCTTATTGTAATATTCTCTACCAATTCAAGGAGTGCTTTAGTATGTATGTGTGAGAGCTACCTAGACATATATGGCCTGGTAGAGCAATGGGTTTCAATCTCAGAAAAAGAACGAGAATGTTTAT